CCCATTGCTCTGAACACATCTAAAAAATAAAATAGATTTTATCCACTTCAGTTTCTACAGGGCCAAGCACATTGCTTCCATTCTTTAATAAAAGGAAATATATAATTCTATATATTTGGGGACATTTTATTCAAACAAGCGTACTTTTCCCCCTTTATTATAAAACCATCACTTAATTTTACAAAATTTTTCTAAGGAGGAAGGTTTAGTCACCTAAAATAAACTAACTTCTTAGGGGTGGGTGTTTTCTCTAGTGGTAAAATGCTGCTTGGGATGCATGCATTCCATATTGGAATTCCTGAAATTACACACCCAGGGAAGCAGCAGGTGATGGCTCAAGTGCTTGGGTCCCTACCACGCATGTGGGAGACATGGATTAAGTTCTGAGCTCCTGGCTTAGGCCTAGCCCATCCCTGGTTATTGTTGGCTTTTGGATCTATATCACCAGAGATGGTAGCTTGCTTGCTCTCTCTCTCTCTTTTTCTGTGTATGTGTGTGTGTGTGTGTGTGTGTGTGTGTGTGTTCATGCGTATGTGTCTGCTTTTCAAGTACTTTTTAAAATTTTTCAAAATATTGAGGGGCCAGCGCTGTGGTGGCATCCCATATGGGCTCCGGTTTGAGTCCTGGCTACTTCACTTCCAATTCAACTCCCTGCCAATTGGCCTGGGAAAGCAGTGGAAAATGACCTACGTCCTGGCACTCACATGGGAGACCCAGAAAAACTCCTGGCTCCTGGCTTAAGATAGGCCTAGCTGTGGCCATTATGGCCATTTTGGGAGTGAATCAGTAGATGGAAGATCTCTCTGTTTCTCCCCACCTCTCTCTGTAATTCTAATAAATAAATAAATCTTTTAAAAGTGGTTGTATAATATTTTCCAATTCTGCATGAGATTCAAATTGTCATAAAAGATCCCCAAAATACCTCTTGTCTGAATTCCTTTTAAAATAGAGAAAACTTCAGATTTTTAATTCAGAATTCACATTTTTAGTCATATCCCTCTAAAAAGAGCAGAAAAGATCTTTACAAAGGACTCACAATCTATTTCTTATGACATTCAGAAATGCTTTTGGTTTTTATGACATTTTGATTTAAAAGTTGATATAATGAATGTTGAATAAAATTTATAAACAAGGTTATTTCACAATTTCAGATATCAATAAAGTTTGCTTAAGGCAAAACACCTATCTGTTACCTATTTGCCTGCTGTTCTATTTGAAAAGGTGCAATCTCTGACTATGATTTGGCTACTAGAAGCACGGGAGTGGATTTTCCAAGACCAGTTTGAAGCAAAAGAAGAATCTCGTATATTGAAAACCTTCCATATCTTGGGTAGCAAAATTTGTCTGCTTTGCTTGGCTGATGAAGATTAGCTGACTTCTTGCATTCAAGAAGTTTGTCTTGTAGGGACAGAAGTGACAAGACAATAACTAAGTGCTAATTGTGCATAACCAGCACTAAAGATATGCAGTCCCATTATGGCATGTAATAAATGAAGCGAACACAGAAATATATGAGGTCCTTTAATAATGATACTAGAATAGTATTTTGCAGCAATAAGAATGGGAACAGTTTTAGAGTCAAAATTTAGGAGTGTTTGTCATACTTGACTAAGTTCTGCCAAGGAGATGGACCTAATTGTGAATGCAACTTTTTATTTCAATGGTAAAATAAAACTGATATATGATTTGTAAATAGCATTAACAGCCTACAATTACTTTGCATCATAATAGAATTTAGTCTGGGTTTAGCACATGAATGATGTCTTAATTTTCTGTGTAGAACATGAATAGAGTAGGTAAGCTTGTCCTGATAGAAAAATGGGCAAAAGGCATAAACAGAGAGCTCCCTAAATGAACAAACAACAAAAGGTCACTAGTAATCAGGTAAATACCAACTAAAATTATAATGAATTATCATCTTTCATCCCCAAGGTTTACAAGGATGTCTTTTTTAGAACATAATTACCAGGGTTAGGTGGATGTGAGGGAATATATAGTTTACACATTCCTGGTACAAGAATAATCAGAATAACTCTTTACAGCATTTTGGCAAACAGAAGCCCTCAAATTATCATATTCTTTGTCTCATGACTTGTGCTTCTGTGAATTTATCCTGACACAGATTTGAGTATTTGTTTATTTGTCGAGTTCATATTATCCTGATCACATAAAACCTTGTGAAGAAACAAACTACACATCTGATGATAGAAAAGTGGCTTAATAGATGATGCTTTATCCATGAAACTGAATACAAAATAGCTTCAAATTTAATGAGATAAAAATGTACAAAATACAAATTAAATGAAAGATTTCAAGTATCAAACGTTAGGATTCATTTAAACAAATATTACAAAAGATAAACTTGTAAAATATTTATTATATATACAAAGAAAAGTTAAGAAAAATTAAGAAAAATTAATAAAATACTTCGTTTTAGAATACTGAAACATGGCCCAATGTTATCCCTTATTCTTTTCTACTTCTAAATTTTCTATGTTGAACTGTAGTCAATATTATTATTATGTAAAGATAACTGTGATGTTACTAGCTGCTCTTAGCAGGTCAATGTGCCAAGTAAACAAAAGTATTATCTTCCAATATATCTTCAAACTATATACACATACAGCTGCAGATAAAAGCATCTGTATGGATGTGTGGGTATGTATATTTCGATATTCATATGAAAAATAACATGTGTATTTGCCAATTTATTTTTTAGCCAAATATTACCTTAGATTGAATGGATCTACATTGATTCCTGGCACTTGTTGCAAAGAATAAAGATGTAAGATTATGTCTTAAATTATTGTCTAGATCAAAATGATATCATAAAATATATTGTTCTACATTTTAAGACTCTACATTTAGCAAGAAACACATACATTTACATCCATATATATATTTATATGGAAAGATATAGATACAGATGTAGATATATGAATATTGGTGCATATATATCTTATAGAAAAATCAAATTAGTGTAATATTATCTGGTAAATGTAAACTATATAATAGAAAAATAACTAACTTTTGAGAATCTACTATTTTAAATAATTTTTAAAGATTCATTTATTTATTTTGAAATTCAGAGTTACAGACATATATAAACACAGCTTCCATTTGGTGGTTCGCTTTCCAGATGCCCATAATGGTTAGTGCTGGGCCAGGTCAAAACCAAGAGCCAGGAGCTTCATTTGGGTCTCCCACATGGCAGGGATCCAAACATGTGGGCCATCATCTGCTGTTTTTCCCAGGCCATTAGCAGGGATTTAGTTCAGAAGTGGGGGCAGTTGGGACAGGAACCAGCACCCATATGGAATACCAACATCACAGGTGGAAACTTTACTTGCAATGCCACAATGCCAGCCCCTAGTTTGCTTAATTTTCAAATGCTGCAAGATTGATATGAAGGTCTCTACTTGTGAATGTGGAAACCAAACTCAGAGAAATCAAGCTACATACTCAACACCACACAGCTAATACTATATTAGCTGATGTGCAAGGGTACTTCAACATTGAATTAAAAGAGAAATTTATTTTAGTGCCAAATTTTTAAAATACATGCATGGTTTTTTCATAATACACAGTTTCCACAAGGTTGTGAAGTATGCTTGAGTGGTGGGACTGGAATTGGAAACCAGTCCTTCTATTATTCTACAGGGCTTACTGAGAAGAACAGTATCTTTTAGGACAAATTACTGAGAACTTGATGCAACTGATATTTACTAACATACTATGTCCAGGTGTCTTCACAGATACTCTCACTGAATTTATTTTCATTAAAACATATCAAGTGTTCTTAATACTTGAAATATTATATTTTTAGAGATGTATACAATTATACTATCCTAACAGTCTCTGTATTTCAAGTAAAACAGGTACCAGTACTATATAGTTCCCATTGGAAATAAAGGAATTACTTTTAACTAAGAAGAATGTGATTAAGATATAATACTTTGAGCTAAAATACTTCTGAGATTAACTAATCCAGCTCTTTTATGTTACAAACAAGAAAACAGATTCAGAGAGGTAAAATGGTTGGTTTAATGTCACACAGCTGATTAGTGGCGACATCCAGACTAGAATTTAAGTCTCCAGAATCCCTGTGAAATATTCGTTCTGTGCTGCTTCTCCAGTGTCGGTAATTGTTTAATTCTTAGCTATATCTGGTCCACTTTCAAAGAGATTCGAGAAAATTTAAAAAGTATATACTGATGAGGCTGGTGCTGTGGTGTAGTGAATAAAACTACCACTTGCAGTGCCGGCATCCCACACAGGCACCAGTTCAAGTCCCAGCTGCTCCGCTTCCTATCCTGCTTTCTGCTCTGTCCTGGGAAAGCAGAAGATGGCTCAAGTCCTTGGGCCCCTGCCCCCGTGTGGGAGACCCGGAGGGAGCTCCTGGCTCCTGGCTTTGGATTGGCGCAGCTCTGGCCATTTTGGCCATTTGAGGAGTGAACCAGCGGATAGGAGACCTCCTTCTCTCTGCCTCTGCTTCTCTGTAACTCTGCCTTTCAAATAAATAAATAAATCTTTAACAAAAAAAGTATATGCCGAGTAAGAGATAGGGAAACTATAAATATAAAAACCAAGATGAATACGTAGTACCTCCTACAAATTCCTATATATTTGCCTCGGTGTCAGTTTGTTTGCTCATGGAAGTAGTACAAAATAGTGAAGAAATTTTAAAGCTACTTATTAAAAAAAAACTGAAAAATTGATGAAGAAAAGGAATGAATAATAAGAAGTCTTAAAAGTTTTTAGAAGTGTTTCCATTTTCTGTGCTACTCTGTTATATGGTGTGTTCCTTTAAGGAATTTATCTTAAAATCATTCTCCTCTTCAATGGTTTGGTTCTGGCAGTAAATTCATGTTTGCAGAAAACAAAAATGCTGAGATGTATCGTTTTAAGTAATGTGTACTAGTGTAATTCTCATCTGTTAACTATAGAGCCAGCACAGAGATGTTTCCTGTGTTCTGGAAGCCTCGATGAGATCTGCTTACCTCTGATTACAAAGCTGACAAGCAAAGCAATCCAGGTGGTAAACGTTGTCCTTGGCTCGCATCACCATCTCAAAGGCAGGAATGAGCTTACTACACGCAGCACAGTTTCCGGTGACACCAAAGAGCCTAGAACAACAAAAATTATTTTTCAAATTCTTAGCCGGAGGTCTGAGATATGTGAATAGAGAAGATGCTAATGTTGGTATATTCTGCAAAGCTATGGCTACACAATACTTTTTGTTGTACACAAGTGAGATTTATCCTAGGTGTATACATCAACATAATTCTGCAATATATATATACTCCATTGTGTTTTCTTGGTAATGACAATACATTAGGAAGCTTACATAACTGCATCCAAACAGAAGTCAACAGGAGTGAATTCATAGGAGAAATCTACTTGTTAGAGTATATGTTAAATATAATAGCAATGTAACTTTGATCTTAACATTAAATATTAAACAAGTTAGTGAGAAAAGAAAGCCATTGGAATGACTCACTATTTTTTTGACACCAAGTAACCAAAAGCTTTACCAATATTACTAAAAGAACATTTATGAACAAGCCATTTAAATAGTCAAAAACCATAGAGGCAGAAGCACCTTATGGCCCTGTACCATAGTTATAGCTATGATTATGTTACGCAGGTAGCACATTAAAGTAAATGAGGCTATAAACTATATATAGCTAGAGCAGGGGGTGAAACATAATAGACTGTCAGAACCACTGGGAATGTCTAGGAAAAAGGTATTTTTAAAAATCCTATTTGCTTATAGATTTCTGAAAAGAGTTATCGTAATGACCTAAAAAAAGTACAAAATAAAACATCTCTATCATTTCACAATGAGAGGAAATACAATATTTCATCCATTTGCATTTGTAATATTTAATCCAAGTTTCTTTAAAGTTGTTAATGGTGGTGAGGAATGATTATAAATAATATTCTGGGCATAGTACTTAATGTACTTTTTAAGTAGGATGCTAACTAGATGAAAAACACCACATCTGCCAGTTTCCCTTTTTTTCTTTTTTTCCTAGCATCAGGCTGACAGGAGAAAAATATAATGGCTCTCATGGGAAAGACCAAATTAAAAGCAGTTCTAAACTAATGAATTCAAAGGTGCTATGGAGAAAACTCATTTTGGTTATAAAAATGTGCTTTAAAAAATCTTAGCCTTTCATTTTATTGAATTTAAGGATTATGCACAAACGTGCTGAAGTCTCCCTTCTTATTACTCTCTATCTTCTCCAAAGAAAAGCCTGTGCTTAGGGCCTGCATATTCATCTTCAAGTTCAAAACTATTTGCTCTAACCAGACTAATGACGATGGTTGGAGGGAACTGTGAGAGTGGTTTGTACATGCCTGGCAAAACGTGCAACGAACCCTTAGGTTCATGCTTTCATTCTGTTGTTTTGTAAAGAACATAAGCACCTTGAGGGTAGAAACTGCAAGGGCTTGCTAAACAGTTTGCTACCATAATCTAAGCACTTGGCAGAAAGTAAGCCAGGTTTTGACTCAAGAAGATTAATGTCAAAATTGCTGGACACCAATCATCCATAAGAATTTAAAGACCATTTTATCTTAAGGACCATAATTCGAATCATCTCTGTTTTCAGTTTCCCATACATATTTTGAGAAATAATTTTTCTTTAAGAAGGACTTTATTGCCACATGTGGTGTCTGACATCTGTCCTCCTGGCATCATTAAAAATGAAACCACCACAAACTAAAGTTTTCATCCTATTCTTCCATAATCAGAATGTTTTAGTTCATTCTAGCATCTGACATTTACTTTTCTGTGTCCTTCCTACAATGCATTCAGGAGTCACATCACTTACATGTACCATTTGTTTCTGCTATTCTTTATTATTTTTTAGAAACAAGGAAACCGTAAAAGTTCTTTCTTCTGTGAATATAGATATAATTGTGGATATACAATCTGGTTAATATGAGATAAAGCCGTTTTTAAGAATTGCTCAGTTCGCTCATACCTAATAAACACACACACACACAATGCCATTTTGAAATTCTGGACATAGTTTCCTCCAATTTCAATTGCTCTCACTAGCTGAGCATTTATCAGCTACCTGATTAGAATTTGTTTCCACACAAACCATTGATCATCAGCCTATTACTAGGCAAATGACAGTTAATTACCCACTACATTAACCACTGGGACCTGAGACCTGCTTCTGCTGCCATCAGTCAACATGATAAATGTGGCAAGTTCAGTAATGCATGGCCAGCCCTGAGCTGCCTGCTATACTGTGAACAACCCTCAATCTCACTTCCAGGCCCAGGAAAATCTATGGCAATCTGCATAATTACAAGCTCTGGGTTAATAACAGACAAATGATTTGTTGCATCTAAACAAAGTCCTTGGAATGGTCCCGGTCTCCGGTGGCTGCCCGTACGGCACACTGCCACAAGTGTACTTTCCACTACAATGTGCACAAAACAGTTTTCAGACACTATAGCCTTCCAGTGTGTTGCCCTCCAATTTATGGATTCTGCATATGTGATTTTTAATCATTAAAGGACTCTTGAAGCAATATTATCTTAATTATTCTCTGCTGTAACCAGGGAATTAGGCTTCAGATAAAATTTTCTTCTTCCACGCACTTTCCCTGCCTCGCTGGAGGCTCCATCAGTTTCCATCTACACCTGGACTCTGAAATCCTAATGATGAATTATTGCCCCTTTTCCTAAGAGGGCGAGCCTTACAAGGGAACATTTTACTGAACTGTCAGCTCACAGACTGAGTGCGGAGATGCGGAAATCTGATCTAATTTACTGCAAAACGATGCATTTGTTAGACTTTTCCCTCAGTTTTGTCCAAGGATCAAGAGATCATTCTACAGCCACACTCACATTCTCCCTTTTCTCAGTGGGGCAGCCCCAGGATTCTCTGGGAAAGGAAACAGAGCATTATTGTATAGAACAGGCATTCCAAATGTATAACGTTAACCATTGATTTCCCAACGTGACATCTGGATTCTCAGGCAAGAGGAATTTTCATATATATATATATATATATATGATTGATATATATATCAATGAGCCTTAAGGCATGCATAATCCTCATTTGTAAGATTGTTTTCTAAGGAGTGACTAGAAATTTTCAAGAGTCTCTTAATCATCTATTTTATTTAGGTAACCTAGTCCTGGAAACTCCTGTAATCCCCCCCTGGGTGCTCCTCCCTCCTGGTCTGGTCTGCAGCCGTAACACAGATCCACTTCCCACCTAAGTTAGGGATCTCTGTGAGCTCTTGCGTGGAGCACTTACAATCGCATCCATTCCATAAAAAGAGGGTCAAAGAGCTTTTTGTAGTCCATTGAAAAGCACAAAGCTTTTTTTAAAAAACAGAAGTCATTTTGAGTTTTTGGCCTAAAATGAATCACAGTCTACCAGCTCATAAATTTATGATAAGGTAAAACAAACAAAAATCCCCCAAAACTCAGTGCTCTATTTTGCTCATTTTAAGATGCCGTACAGATTATTAAGGGATAGCAAGGGTTAATTTGCCAATTTATGAGTTACACAGTTCTCTACTATTTACACTCATAATATGCTTTAAGCTACATGACCTTTATCTTGTCTCTGACACACTCCAAAAATTAGACGTACACTCTGCAAGGTGACAAGTATCATCCATACAATTATGGCACACTGATATTTGCAGGAATCTCAAAGAATGTTTCTGTCCTTTTTCTATCCTATTGTTATTTTCACTACTTGGTATTAACAATCTAAACACAGACATAAAAACAAAAATCAGATAGCTTTCTTTAGGGTAAGAATTCAGTCTATCTATATGCTGCATGTATTACACATCCCACACGGTGGGGAGCATGCACAGGGAAGTGCTTAATAATGTTTGTGTGTGGGTGGCATAGAGCAAGAACTAAGGCAATACACATTTATATTTTTTAAAGGAACTCAGAAAATGTTGCATTTTTACTAAATGTTCTACAGCTTTGGTACCATAGTCGTAAATCAGGTGAACTCTGTATGGTTTAGTACATATCCATTTCCAGAGTTCCTGGGGGTGGGTAGGTAGAGGAAAACTCAAGACATATAATCATTTAACATAGCAATAATGAATATGGTTTACTACAGGCATCGGGGGAAAATGAGTGTTCATTGTATTAGTGTCTTTTATTTCACAGCACCAGATGTTTCTATAGATTTTTCTTTACCAGGTCAGTGGCTCAAGTCACTAAATCAAATTCCCTTAAGCTACAGAAAGCATAGCATTTGACTCAAATTAATTTATTATGTGGTGAAAATACACAAATACATATTACTACAGTAAACCTTAATTCTGCACAAAGATCAAATTATCTCTTTTGATAGGCAATCTTTATTTAGTGACTTGAATACACATGAATTTAACAACAAATATTTTTCAAAAATATTGAGGATAACACTTGCTTAATTATCATCTTCACGTATATATAAAAACTTCTCTCTGTAGAGTAACTAGAGATGAGAAATGAAAGTTTCACTTTCTAAGGATATGAAATTGTAATCAGTTGAAAAGATCTTTAACTTTTGACTGCTGAGTGGTGAAGTTTTATTGAATACGATATATGGGAAGAAATGGAACATTTTCACAGATTGAGAAGGGCAATTGTCTTTTTGTCTGTTACAAATATACTTATCTCCTTTCCTATTTCACAATTGAAACTAAGGAAGGTTGTGATGGAAAATGAAAACACTTTAAACATTCAATTTGTTTGTTTTAAATTTAAAAAGTTCACCCCTTACAAGCTGAAGAGCTTTAAACCTATTGTTCTCTCTCCTCTTAGGTCGTACATGTGCTCTTCCATTGCAGAGATAAAGATATTGTGGGACTTAGAAAAGTACAAATTGAAACACTGAACATTTAAAAAAGCACAAATGAAACATAAAAGCATGCTGCACATTATTTTACACTGTGTTTCTAATTGTTGTCAACCTTACAACATATTTCCAGCATACGTTTATTTGTACTCAATGAGTTAGAATTTCTCTAAGTTAAGATTAAAAAACTAAAAATTGACAGGAATGGGAAATCTTTCCTATTTAAAGGAGGCTGAGAGATTATTCATTTCCTAATTAAGTAAGTTATCCTATGATAAA